GATCAATGGAATTGGGCCGATTGGTGGCCGCCATGACAATCAAATGGGAGCTCTTCTTCATGCCGTCCATCAGCGTCAGCAGCTGGGATACAATACGACGCTCCACCTCGCCGTGGGTCTTGTCACGCTTGGGGGCAATAGCGTCGATCTCATCAATGAAAATGATGGCCGGTGAATTCTTTTCGGCCTCCTCGAATGCCTTGCGCAGATTCGATTCGGATTCACCGGCTAGCTTGGACATGATCTCGGGTCCGTTGATCAAAAAGAAGAACGCGCCCGTCTCGTTGGCAACGGCGCGTGCAATTAGCGTCTTACCGGTACCGGGTGGACCATACATGAGTATGCCACGGGGCGGCTTCACGCCAATAGCCTTGAAGAGCGACGGATGGCGCAGCGGCAACTCGACCATCTCCTTGATCTGGGCCAGCTGCTTGCGGCAACCACCGATATCATCGTAGCCCACAGCATTCAAGGACTCTTCCTCCTCCTACAGCAAAACATAACATATATACATATATATATTGAGAACACAAAGAAACTCAATAAGTACGCAGTACAGTGGATAATATGACTAATATGCACCCAAAAACCCAACACCCCAAATGTATAGCCATGTCACCCACTGTGCTGCACATGCTGTGATCAAAAGGATTTCCTTACCTCACGCTTGATTGGATCACCATCACAAAAGATGACCGTTTCGGGCGCCACAATGCAGTAAGGTTCCGGATCGGTGAGCACCACTTTGAACTCGATGGGCCGCATGGCGGCGCGCACAATGAAATTGTCGCCCATGTGTATGGGACGATAGGCCTCCAGGAAGTAGGGCTTCAAATAGATCTCAAATAGATTGCCGGTAACACCCTCGGTGGTATCGTCGATGGGCAAAATACGAACACGCTTGCCATACTTGACATCCGGGCAGGATTGCACGGAAACCACGTCCGACAGATGAACGCACAGATTGTTGCGAACAACACGATTCATGCGTATCTTCTCATCCGGGCAGGTATCATCCGACAGCACAATGCAGACGGTCTCCTTGCGGCGCTTGCCCTTCAGGATAACAGTGTCGCCACGGAAGAGCTGCAGCTCATCCATTTTCGCCTAAAACCGAGCGGATCAAGTGTTTTAGCCAAGCGGAATTGCTGACGTGGCCTTTGTTTTTTTTTTTTTGATTACCTGCGATAGCGACACAACGGAATTGTCATCATTCTGCGCCTCCTCGACAATCAAACGATTGGGACGATCCTTGCGCTTCAGAATTGCCGTGGCCAGGTCTTCGCTGCTTGGACAGAGAATCAAGTTAAGCACTCGTCGTGTATTGAGGCAAAAATAAAATAAAATTTCACATATGCAAAAAGAAAGACCCTAGGCGCACCGTTTCTCGCCGGAGACCTGCGGCTTGGGCAGCTCCGATTTCTCTTTCTTTATCAACAGCTCGTCCTGCTCGTTGCGATAGCTGCGCACCATGTCGGTTATGTCGACATCCATTTTCTGGCCCTGATCTGCATTGTAATTGTTGCTGTTGTTGCCGGTGCCTGCGGCCGGCTGTTTGGCCAGCGAACGCTTCGAGCCGCTGGCGTTGTTTTCATCGTTGCCGCTGGACATTTTTTTTGACTAATCTTCTGTTTGATTTCCAATCAGAAAGGAAAAAAAAAAAAAAAAACAGCTCACAACGCTGTCGTTGTTAGCAACAAACTAAGACAGTAAACAAACTGGCCCACTTGGATGCCATTTGGAATGGCATCAATTGTCCGACTTGTCCCGCCGCAACAAAGAAACGGTAAAAAAAAAGGGTTGCAACAACAACAAATGCAACAAAGGCAATGGGAAAAACGGACAAATGGCGACTTTCTGCGGCTCGCCCCAATTTCACAATCATAACGTTTGGGTCTCAATTGTGCATTATTACTTACAAGTAATCAACATATATCGCTGTTTCATATAAAATAACTCATTTTTGTCACATTTCAAGGCGCCTATTTCTTGGAAAGTTCCCATTTAATTTTCCTATGTGGCCTTTGAGTTTTTTTTTTTTTTTTTCTCATAGGGCCAATGACTGCGCGAAATTGAAGCTGTCTCAGCGCTGTGTCGGCTTTCGTTTGACGCTGTTTTTTTTGTTACATATACACTTACCCCTTGGAATCAGCCATAGTAAAAGATTTGTGATGAAACTTTTGAACTTAAATATACAAATTGGCGCGTTTAACTCTTTATTATATGTCTTTAAAAATCGAGCACAACTTTTGTAACAAAATCACAAATGATTTAGCTAAATGTTCGCATAGGGCTGCCAACTGGACTGACTACAAACGCGTTGGCAGCTTGGCGCTGGAAAAGTGCTGAGTTGTGTGATAATTAGGAATGGAACTTTGCAAAAGAATTAACCATCGATATTAATACAAATGCAACCAAGCGATATTAACGGCGTTGCCACATTGATGTTAGCGACTATTTGGCGCACTTATTTAAAATTGGCAAAATTTTAGTTAGGATTTCATTTAAGGAGATTTCTTTATTTCACTGTTGTGTAGAACGCTTGTATAAAGACATATATAAATACATATACATTTATATTTCTTATATTAATATTGAATACAAAATATGCTCTTGCCATTTGACATTTTGTGCAAAATTACACTGTTACATACAAAAAAAAATTGCTGAACGAAACGAACGAGTAAATGCGTTTTTGTTTTAATTGTTTGCAGAATTTCTTTCAATTTTGTTTCGAAATATTATTTATGGTGTGTTGTTTTTGAAGAGTATATTGGATTTCAAACTTTTAGCCAGCATGCACAGACTGAAACGAAGTATAAAAAAGAGATAAATCAAATTAAAGCAAAATCATATATATATATGTAGAAAACGCAAAAGCGGAAAGCAATAAATCATACATATATATATACATCTATATATATGTAAATATATGTAATTGCCACATTGCAGAAGAAACATATGTAATCATAGAACTTCATATAATGTCGCTACATTTCTCTACCAAGTCTTTTGATTGCCATTTGTTTTACTTAGGTCATTTTTAGTTGTTTAGTTATTGTTGAAGTTTCCATTTAAATAAACTCGGAATTGGAACGTACCCTGGCAATGTCCACGCCAGTTATGTTCTTGACCAGCTCCGGCACCTTGTTGACAATCTGCAATATCTCGCCGGTCAATTTGGCGGCACCAATATCGCCTTGGCCACTCGACACCATGGTAATCTTTCTGGCCTGGGACAAAGGCGCAGCCACTTCGGCGGCCACCTGAAAGCATAAAACCGGAGACTCATTAGATACGTTTCCAATTGTTGGAGAAGCACAGCGTACCTTCGGCAGCGTGTCCAAGAGCATTTCCACCATGGCGGCTTCGCGGTATTCACGCCAAGCGTCGGCCTTCTGCGCCATTTGCTCAGCCTCAGCCTTAGCCTTGGCAGCAATGGCAAATGCTTCGGCTTCACCGCGTATCTTTATCTGCAAAAGGTAAGTTTTTAAGTCAATGCTTCGGCCAGGGATTCACTCGGCAACCTTACCGATTCGGCCTCAGCTTCGGCCTCCATTACGACGCGCAGCTTGTTGGCTTCGGCCAATTTCTCTAGACGATACTTTTCAGCTTCGGCTGGACAGCGCACCGTGGCATCCAGCTCCTTTTCACGTCGCATAATTTCCTGCTCCTGCACAGCAATCTCCTGTGTGCGCTCGATAACCTTCACCTGCATCTGTTCCTCCTTGATGCGCTGCTTAGTCTTGGCCGCCTGCAGCTCGTATGCCATGTCGGCCTCGGCCTTTTTCGTTTGCACCTCCAGATCGTAGGCGGCACGCTTCAGTTCAAAGTCGCGCTGTGCCTTGGCAATGTCGGTGTCGTTAAGGAAACGGGCGGCCATGCGCTGCTCCTCGGCAATGGCCTCCTTGATGTGCGCCTCAGCACGTGCCTCCGCCTCGCCAATGCGTGCATCGCGCTTCACCTCAGCCGTGCGCGCCATGCCCAACGATTTCAGATAGCCCTGCAAGGAATAGAACAAACGGAGGGCTCGTTGTATCATTGGGTATTACAAATATAATGGATTTAGAGGACTCAACAAAACACGGACGCACTATATACGCACCTTGGAGTCGCCCTGGTTGATTAAACCATGAGTCGATATGTACATACATGCAAAAATACATAATATTTCGGTTACTCAAAACGGAAAATTTGTGGTGCGTATGAAAGACTTGTCACAACATATCGAAATGCATGCCCCGAGCAGAATCTAGTGAAATAAGGGAGGTAAAATCCGGTGTGGAGAGCTTACCTCCTCGTCACGCAGATCCTTGATTGTGTAGGAGACCACGGTGATGCCCATGTTGGCCAAGTCGCTGGATGCCACCTCGAACACCTGCTTGCTGAACTTCTTGCGATCCTTGTAGATCTCCTCCACAGTCATCGAGCCCATGATGGCGCGCTGATGTCCCTCCAATGTGACGAGCGCAATGTGATTGATTTCGGCCTCGGATTTGCCCAGAAACTGCTCGCACGCTGTCAACAGCATATCCTCGTTCTGGCCCTGCACCTTCACCTGGGCAATGCCAGTCACAGAGATGGGCACACCTTGGCTGGTGTAAACGCAGGGGCTTTCCACTTGCAGCGTCATCGTGTTCAATGAAATGCTGGAATGCAAAAAAAAAACACCGTTATTTGATGACATCACGCCTCAAGGTCAAATTATTCAATTACCGTTGTACTTGTTGAATCGTTGGCCAGACAAAGGCGCGTCCGCCTGGAACCAACAGTGGCTTCATATAACAGCATCCTAGCAACAAATAAGATATAAATGCATGTGTCAATACAATGTTTACAATTTAATCAAAACAAAACAAATACACCGGCAGTCGTATATACAAGCAAACATATACGCACGTACATATGCACTTGTATGTTTATTTTCGCCGCAACGGCGTCAGTTATGTGCGCGCGCACGGCTTCGGACTGTTACGAATTGCTTGTACATAAAAATCGATAAGCAGTGACGTCATTTGGGGGTGCTGCCCCGAGTCGAATTTATTTACAAAATTGATTAAAGCCTATTGTGGGCTATCTGCTAGCATTGATTGAAGGTAATATTTACCTGATACGACTAATGCCTCGTTTGGGCCACAAGTCACGAACCCCCAAGTCATTTTAATAAACTAAAATTGCAAATATTTAATTTCGATTACGAGTTGTTGCTGCGGCTCGTTGGCAATTCCCTTGGGCTTTATTAATCTGTAACCCGCATACGTTTTTCAATAAACAATTGAGATTCGATATCAAAATAGAAAACAAATGTACATTTATAGTAACTTTAGATATATGAACGCGAAACGCGACCGGTCCGTCGAGAACACAAAAAGCAACTAAAAAGAGATTCTCTTGCGAGTGCGCACTAACTATTGGATTTAACCCTTAGGTGGGACTTTGTGGTCGTTTGTATGCCGATAGGAGCGCGTAATTTCTTAATAATTCGGTATGTATATTTATGAAGATTTATTCTATAAATATTAAGTGAACTAGGTACAGTTGCAATTTTTGGTTCTTAAATTTACTTAATGTATATTTAAAATATTACAACTGATGGCATTCTCATGGTATAATTTGGTAAAAACTATGTAATAGAATTGCAATGAATTGGGGATAAAAACAATGTGTATAACTAAAAATACGTTCCTAAAATATACATACAATTTATATATATATATATTATATTATATTATTGAAACAGTCGTTAGAACTACAAGTTAACTTGATTGCCACATTAATGACTCGAAGAGGAGCTATCTGTAAAATACGGATGCTGCATGGCAGCTTCCGCACTAATTCGCTGATTCGGACGGCAAACAAGCAGTTTTTGCAGTAAATCACGGCCCTTGGTATTCAGTCTTGGTACAAGTTGGCTCCACGATGTTATAGGTGGATAAGCTGATAGCATAAATTATAATTAGTGTTTGATTCGTTATTATTGATGCGACTTACATGGAAGCGCAACGTAATCGGAGAGATGCGAGACACCGGGCCAAGATTCTTCAGTTGGTGTGCCAAGCACCCGGAATATTTTCAGCAGTTGATCGAGTACATCAGAGCCGGGAAATAGCGGACGACCTGCATCCGCTAATTCGGCTAATATGCAACCCGCTGACCACATATCGATGCTAGTTGTATAGAGCTTGGCGCCGAAGAGCACATCGGGCGGACGATACCACAGCGTTACCACCTCGGCAGAATAGCATTTGACGGGTATGCCAAAGGCACGGGCCAGACCAAAGTCGGCCAGCTTCAGTTCGCCGTTCTTGTTGATGAGCAAGTTTTGCGGTTTCAAATCCCGATGCAGAACGTTGTGACTGGAAGCGGGGGGAAAGAAACAGAGATATTCAATAAACCGACAATTGCAACTAACTGCATGTGGCACCCACCTGTGACAGAAGGCTAAGCCGCGCAACAGTTGCAGCATAAAACTACGACAAACGGCCATATCGATTTCTCCATTTAAGCTGTCAAAGTACTTTTTCAGATCCTGATCGCAGTGCTCGAATACCAATGTCAATTTTTTATCGGAGTGCAACACATCACAGAGTCGAACTATATTTTTGTGCTTCAATTCCTATTGGTAGAGTGACGTGAACGTGAGGCTAAAGAATAGAGCATAGCTCTGCTTGTAATCGCAAACGAACCTTTAGTAAGCATATTTCTCTCAGCGCGGAACTTGGCACACCCTCGTCGTCCTCGTCTAGACGTACTCTTTTTAGTGCCACAATTTCCATTGTGTCTCGATTACGGCCCTTGAACACCGTACCGTAAGTGCCCTCGCCAATCTTCTCCATTTTATCATATTTTTGCATGTTTATAAAATAATTTTGTCGCGATTACCTGAAAAACCGTGCGTGCTGCCAGACCGTCATTTAATCAGCTGTTTGTGCCCTTCTTCTGAGTCTCTTGCGAACATCAGTCGCGTGAAGTTGGCTGCTGACGCAAATAAGAGCCGACTGTCATTTAACGGCTGCTGACGGAAAAAGTTAAGAAAACATGCACTTGCTATTAGTTTTAAAATAAATTATACAACATAAAAACAAAGTTTTTCCTCTGTCTCTATTTTCTTCTTCTTCTAGTTAAAAAAAAAAATGGAGGTTTTAAACGACGATACTCTCATTCGCATACTAGGCTATTTAGATCTAAAATCACAACAAATCATGATGACTTTACATCCACGATTCTTTCAATTGATGTCGATTGTCTGGTGCTTAGAGTATAAAACTGTAAAACTGTCATTATATGAGGCAAATTTTTCACTCGAGCACCTGCGTCATTTCTTTCGAAGCATTTGCAATACTGTGCAAGTGCTTCATCTGCGTATGATGTGCTTGGAACAATATAATGTGCTCATCAGTTTTATATTCCCCAAAGTACATGATTTTCGCTTTGCAACAGTTCCAAGTAAATTGCTGTCCGATTCGGATATACCAAAGCTGATCCGGACTTTTCCAAATCTGAAAACCTTCAGTCCACACGGCAATTTTTCGGGCAGATACTTTACGGATTTTCCATTACTGGAGCGTCTAACACTGACATACTGCAAATACTTCAGTGTTGAAAATCTTGCAAATGTTATGAAAGAACGAAAGCTTAAAGAAATCAAATTGTGTCTGTTTGATCGCAGAACAATTGAATCGAGCCATTTATGTCTGCCTGTGGCCTCTTTGGAAAATCTGGAATCCATCAAATTGGAAGTGGATGAACTTCCATGGTTCGAGGACCACCTGGAAGCACTTAATCGGTTAAGCGAGCTCACGGTTTGTGGGTCTGGATTTATGGGAACACTTCCATTACTCTGCCGTAAATTGGGTTGTCTAACGCAGAAACATCATTTTAAAATTTTGGAGACATGCAATACCACAGACACATTGTGCACGGTCATTGGATCAAAGCTACGTGTGGATGCTCTTAAAATCGTAACGGATAATTATTTATTGGAAGACATGGGCTACTTTTCGCCCAACAACTTTGAGTACATAAAGCAATTGTTTTTTAAAAGTTGCTGCATACAAGAAAAAAAACATTTAAATAATCTAATGCACAACATTGCAAACGTGGAGCTCGTTAGCTTTGAGCAGTGTGTATTTACGTTTGACAACTATCAGTTTGTGGCAGCTAAAATAGCCGAAAAGCGCAACAAATTGCTGCAAGTAAATCTGTATCAAAACGCATGCGTATTTACAGTAAGCTATTGATATTTAACGGCGATTTATGCACTTAACTGTTATTTTTTTGTTTGTTACAGAAATTACCATGGGTCTTTACAGTGGTTGGTCAACATCCGTTAGTTCAATTCCTCCCTGGCAGAAACTACGAATACACTTACGAACCCATATACATGTATTTGAAATAAATAAATAAATAATGACAATACAATAAAACACTCTCAGAACACCTTGGGAGCCAAGTCAAAATCAAGTACAAATTCAACATATGTATATCTAGTTCTGTCTAAATAAAATATCGACTCACGCTTTCCTCCGTAAATTGGCTTAAAATTCGAATTTCAAATAGGTGGCTATTCTTCGTTGAACGTAATTTTAAAACGTAACGGGTTTTAACAGTGCGTGCCCACTCTGTAAATACGTTGTACGATAACAGCACGTTAACAGGTTTGTTTTCACGCTTTTCGATTCGTTAACTGGTTCCAGGTTCACGCAAATGTTCACTGCGAACCAAACGCATTCGCTATAAATTAATTCGGTATAAAAATAAGTCAAATAAAGTAGTAATTAATAGATTTTGCGCATTTAATTTAGTTTGCACGTTCATTTCCAAACAACACAGAAACCTGGGTGAGTTCCATGCAGGTGCGCAGAGTGAATGAAAGGTGAAATTATATGCGCATTTCGACACCTTTGTCAACGCTTATTTGCGCAAAATAATAAGTTCCGAGTGTTGTTGTTGGTGGGCCAGCACAAATACACAGAAGTTGGCTCGCTTGGCGCTAGCAGAACAAGAGGCAGTGAAAAACACAAACAACAGCAACAACAACAAGCAGAGCAGCACCAATAACACCCAGAGCAACAACTACAGCAGCAGCAACAACAACAACAATAACAATAATAACATTTGCGCCAGTGGTCACAAGAAATGGCTAATACAAATATGATTAGCAGCAATCATAACAGTAACAGCAACAGCACCGCCTACACTTACAACAATTATAACAGTGCTAGTGCAGACAGCGGCAACAGCAGCGGAAGCAACGGCGGCAGTGGCAGCGGCAGCGGCGGTGGTGGCAGCGAGGTGCAAACGCTACGTGAAGTCTGTAACATGCTGAATACGGCCGCCCCAACCAATTATATGATACCAACAGGTGGTTGTGCGTACGATCACATTATTTCTATGATGCGCGGACTTAACCTGCAGGACGATGGCATTGTCCTTAATAACAAAATCAAAGCCATCGAAACGGATTTCTGCAACATTGTGCGCGACGAATCGATGCTATGGTATGTATATATTCGCGTATATCTCTAGTCTTCGAGTGAGTGCGCATGTGTGTGTGTGTGTGTGTTTGCATGGCGTCGTCCATTGATGATTAATACATAAATATATATGTATATATGTATGTATGTTTATGTATGTACATTTCTGTGTATGCATGCATATATGCATGTATATAGAGTATATGTGTGTGGGTTCCTACGTCAGAGCTGGTATTAAAATTTACAACTTACTGTAAATGATGTCGCAATTCGGTCAAAATTGAGAACTAAGAGATTTAGCCTTATACAATGTGAGCGAGAGAGAGAGAGAGAGAGTGGGAAAGAGACAGGGAGTAAGAAAAATAAGCAAGTTTCCCGCCAGTTGGATAAACTTGAGTTCTTGTCGAAGACTAAATACCCTTTGATATATATATATATATATGTATGAATGTTATGTACTGTCTGTGCATACATTTTATCATATGCTTAATTTAAGTAGAGCAAATAACAGTTTATGCGGCTTATCAGTCATGTTCGTAGCTGTCGGTAGTAATTGATTTTCTTTTTAGTCGAATTTCACCTAGTAACTATATTTGTATTGATAATAGCAAGTATAGGGTTTCCCTGATTTGATGTAGACCCTAAAGCTTTTGTCTTGATATAATTGATATCCGTATAAAGGCTCCTTTATCATATTCAGGGCATACCGATAACCGGTTTCCGAACGAATCACAGCTGAAAAACAATAACATAATTAATAACAATAACATTGCCCATTGTATTACTCACAAATTTTTGCCTTGAAATGCATTTCAGCGAATCCATGGACTACATGAATAACAAAGCCCTATGCGACGCGGAGACGGCACTGAAGTTCGCCCTGCTGTTCTCCTCGCGTAACTTTGATGCCCTGGCCATGAAGGAGACGAAAGTGCGGAGCGCCATGCTCAAGATACTGGAGACGAACTTCATCAATGCCGATGCGTATCGGCTGCACGACAAGAATCGACTATACAACTCGATAACGCTGCTGGGCGAGTACTATCATCGCGTGCGTCTGGCGGACAATGCGCCGATAACCATTTTGGGCGACTCGCTGCTCAATCTGCTTACGCGTGAGATAAACGACGTGTCGGTGGTGATGAGCACGCGCCTAGCGCGCCTAGTTCTGTCACAGATCACGCTCAATGGCGAGATCATGCGCACGCGACACAAGGCAGAAATCGATCAGTTGCTCTACCATGTCAGACGCCACTTGATCATGCAGCCGGCGCTGACGGCCAAGGTGAAAGCGATGCTAATGATGGTGCTCGATTTGTTCTACAGCCATTTCAAGCATGTGGGCCACGAACTGGAGGCCATGTATACAGAGTATTTGGTGGTCGACGAAGACGAGGATGATGGCTTCAACAACAACAACAACAACAACAATAATGCGACGGAAATACAGCCACAATCGGATGCGTACAGCGGTCAGAGTGCAACCACCTGTTACAGTGACGAGGAGAATGGCAGCAGTGCCAACAACTCAGCACAGGAAGTGCCCAAGAAGTGGAGCGAGCAGGTCTGCGAGGATTCGCTATGCGATATTGTTTACGGCGAGGCATCAGCCAATGGCGATGAGCAGCAACAGTACTGCGAAAATGCTGGCAATTCCTATCAAAGCCACGACACGTCCAGTTCCAGCCGTCAGGCCAGACGTGGCTATCAGCCGCGCCATGTGCCGCGTCCGCTTAAGCAGTCACATTCACAGGCGCCGCACGCAGAGTAAGTCATCTTTGGTATCTTTTACGTTGTATTCTTAACTCGTTAATGCTTCGCAGCAATATCAGCTCCGATCAGTATCCATCCATGGCCAGCAGCGAGGATCGCGATGAGTCAAAGCCGCTGCCCAGCTGGCGCATGACACGCTTCAACCGCCCCAACGATGGCGAACAGGCGAATGGACGCTCACGTCATGACCAACAGCGTCGCTATAGCGTCAGCTGCGATGACGATCATCAGAGTGTGCGAAGCGAGGGTCGCGGTAATTTGCGTCTCTATAGCATTGATGATCGCAGGAAGCACTCGGAGGAGCGCTATGAGCGCAATCTGGGCGGTGGCAGCAACTATAACAACATAGTGAACTCCAATTGGGATCAGCGCGATGATCGCAGTGAGCGCTCCTATATAAGCAACTATGAGCGCGGAAATAGCTACAAGCGCGGCGGGCGCTATAACAATCACAATCGCAACACGTACGACAAACCGCCGCGTTTCCAAAAGCAGCAGCAACAACAGCAGCAGCATCAGCAGCAACAACAACAACAACAACACCAACAGCATCAGCACAGGGATCATCAGAAGATACACAGTGAGACCTGGCGTCGCTCAAACAATGCCATAAACAATGCATATCAGGATGAGAATTGTGCTTACAATTCGAATGGGCCCGAGTCCAACAGCCGCAGCTCGTCGCGTGCACGCACTCTGCCGCGTCCGCCCAAATCCCAAATGGATGATGGCGCCAGGAAACCCAACACCAACTATCGCTACAGTCAGAGTCCAACACGCGGTGGTGGCGGCAGCGGCGCTGGGGGCGGCGGCGGTGGGCCGCGCACGTTTCCGCGTTACAGCAGTCAGAGCAGCCTGGCAAGCGAAGCGTCCAGCACATTTGATCGCCGCCAGCAGTCGACCCGGCCACATCAGCATCAACATCAGCATCAAAATCAGCATCATCATCAACCGCAGCGTCATCGCAACTTTACACGTCGCTCACAGCCCAACATACACCAGCCGCAGGAGCATCAACAGGCTCCAAATCCACAGCCGCAGCAGCAGCAGCAACAATCGAATGCAACTGGCAACTGGCAAGAGGCTGGCAAGGATGAGAGCGAGCTGGTGCGCAATGCACAGCAGACAACACAATATATGAACTACCTGTCCGCGCAGAAATGAGAGAGACGCGCCCGCTGCAAAAGAGCCGAGCGTCGTCGCAGCACCAGAAACTACAAATGCATGGAGTGATTACAATAAGCACGAGTACGATTTTTGTAAAGTTTAATTGTTTTAAAATTGAAAGTCTGCAACGAGATTTTGTTTCAACCCGGTTTTAAAGCTGCCCCCTAACATTCATTCAAGTAATCAATTTGCTTTTCACTTGCAAACCAAAAAAGAAAAGAAATGATTTTTTTTTCTTTTCTTAAAATTGTATTGGAATATTTTTGAATTAAGACCACATATTCAATTTGTAAGCTAATACTTGTGCCGTTCATTTAATATTATTTTGTATAATGTAGTAGAGACTGTTTGTAATCTACAATTGAGCTCAAATGTTAAACCTAACTCGTGGCCATTTGCATCTAATCTCCAATTTCCCGCCTCAAATAAACAATAAAATGAAATATGAAATCAAACGTAAACACACAAATCAAGATAGGCTCAAGTAGCAATTGTAAATCGCATATAAATATAAATATATATATATATAGTAAATCGGAAACAATTTATGCTTATCCATAAACAAATTGTAAATAACTATTGTACTCGCGACGGATCGATCAGCATACAACAAACACACACACACACACACACATAGGTACATACATAATTATACACCGGCATGTTTTATACAATTTTTGTTAGAAACTAAGTACAAAAGTCATAAACATGAAACAAAAGTAAAAAACAAAAAATCCTATTTCTATTATAATTGTATGAATAAAAAAAGAAAATTATGTTGTTTAAATGTTACATGCACGTTGACCACGTTGTATTTTAGCTAAATATATATGTATACCTAAATGTCATGTTACGATTTAAAATGCAGAAGATTTATTAAAAGCATATTATAAATTACACAGACGTATACATGCAGACCTTAAAGAAAGTTATTATAAATAATTTTGAAAAGGCGAGTTTGTTGAAACAACAAACGAGCCATAATGAGAAATTTAAAACTACATTGAATATAATATATATAAATATATAGTTTTAGTCGGATACATATACGTATTTTAAGCATAACAAGCGTTTAAATCATAGTTATACACATATACACACATATACAAATACATAGTCTAACAATAACAATTTTAATAAATATATTTCCAGAATTTTGATTTTGAGATTTGAAATATGTATGTTGACAACTGTTTGAATACAATATAGATTGGTATATTAAGACATGCACCGCACCCGGGCGGAACTAACACAGAGCATAAACTATAAGAGATTTGACAGGTGGTTCAGCGCTCGGCCTGCTCTTTGGGCGTCACAACCAGGACCTCATAGATCCGGTTGCTGACTTCCTCGCGTTGATATGGCATATATATGACGCGATGCGATGGATGCACTTTGCCCAGCAGCGTCAGGCCCGCGTGCACTGAACGGCCGGTGTAGAGCGCCTCGCCGATCTCCGAGTAACCCGACTTGAGGGCACCGGGCGGCACATCCCCATTCGTTGCCGCCACCCATTTGAGTTCACAATCCGTTAGCACCAACAGGTCCACCTCTGAGTTAAGCCGATGGGCACTGCAATTCCATGGTGCGTATACGGCTTTCTTTTGCGGCACATAATTGGCCGGCAGCAAATCCTCGTGCAGATAGACGCGCGCCACATAAGTATCGAAGCCCTCATGATCGGTGCCACATTGAACGGCACCCTCGGGTGTGGTGGGTGCAACGGGATCATCCAAATCGATGGGAACCCACTGGATCTGGGAACGTTCCGGATCTTCGATCTCGGTGCATTCGGCGAAATTCAAATAAATGCGATGCACACGGTGACGATGGCAAATGGCCCGACATTGCGGGCAGCTCAGCGAACGGCTTAGCCAACGGGTGAGGCACTCCTTGTGAAAAACATGGCCGCAACTAGCTGTTGAATATATGATATCATTTGCTTTGTAAAACTCATTGCAAATGCCACATAAAACGTTCAGTTTCTCAGCCTGCTGAGTTGATTTGCTTGTTTCCGATTCTGTTTCCGCTTCCATGATTTTTCGCACGGTTGTTTTTATTGAACTACGTCTGGTTCTTATCTCGGTGCTCTTTGATTTGTATTTCATCAAAAGCACAAATAAAAGGCACACAAAAGACAATATACGCAGCGATAGTCAAAGTTTGCAACCATTTGTAATTGCCGTGCTTTTAATTAATCGATTATTATTATCGCGACAATCGGTTATCGGAGATGTTGTGCTTGCAGCCCTGGTCTTCGGCACGTTGTTTTTATTGTGGCTGTTGCGTTTGACATATAAACATGCAGCGAAAGGAGCCAAATCCTTTCCAAAAACTGGGATTGCGGCCATGGCTGGCCAAGCAGCTGACCAAGCTGGGTGAGCCAAACCGAATTTAATTGATATAAGGACACCTATTTATCCATATTCCTACATACGCCTTAGGCCTCAAGGGAGTAACGCCCATACAAGAGAATTGCATACCAGCGATATTGTCAGGCAAGGATTGCATAGGCGCCGCGAAAACAGGCTCAGGCAAGACCTTTGCATTTGCGCTGCCCATCTTGGAGAAGCTGAGCGAGGAGCCAGTCAGCCATTTTGCCCTGGTGCTGACACCCACACACGAGCTGGCCTACCAAATCTCCGAGCAGTTTCTCGTTGCCGGTCAACCCATGGGCGTGCGCGTTTGCGTTGTCTCTGGCGGCACAGATCAGATGATTGAAAGCCAGAAGCTGATGCAGCGACCACACATTGTTGTGGCCATGCCGGGTCGCCTAGCGGATCATCTGACAGGCTGTGACACGTTCTCGTTTGATAATCTCAAGTATCTGGTTGTCGACGAGGCGGATCGCATGCTAAATGGTGACTTTGACGAGAGTTTGGCCATAATAGAACGCTGCCTGCCCAAAACGCGCCAGAATCTGTTCTTCTCCGCCACCATGAAGGACTTCATGAAAGAGTCCAGCATCTTTCCGATAGCTAAGGATGTGAGTGTGCAAATCTACGTGAAAATTAATTATCATTATTATAATATTTGACTTTTAGTGTCTGGAATGGTCACAGGAGTCGGACGTGGCCACCGTGGATACACTTGAACAGCGCTATTTACTCTGTGCCGACTATGATCGTGATATGGTTCTTATCGAAGCCTTGCGCAAGTATCGGGAACAGAATGAAAATGCCAATGTTATGATTTTCACCAATACAAAGAAGTAAGTGCTTAATTTATCAAAACTTTAGAGGTATTTAATCTGTGTGTATCCCGCCAGATACTGCCAGCTGCTCTCGATGACGCTGTCCAGCATGGAAATCGAGAATGTTTGCCTGCACGGCTTTATGCGGCAAAAGGAGCGCGTTGCGGCGCTCAGTCGCTTCAAGTCCAATCACATACGCACCCTGATTGCCACAGATGTAGCTGCACGTGGATTGGATATACCCAGCGTGCAGCTGGTAATTAATCACATGCTGCCGCGTACGCCCAAGGAATATATACATCGTGTGGGACGGACAGCGCGAGCGGGACGCAAAGGCTTGGCCATATCAATATTTCGATTTCCACGCGATCTGGAACTACTGGGCGCCATTGAAGCAGAGATAAATACTAAACTCACAGAGCATCCCATAGATCGTATGTGTGTTAGTCATCTTTAAATTAAGATTAACTAATTTGAACAATATTTTGTTAGAGCGCATGGTGGAGCGCATATTCATGCAAGTGAATGTAACACGGCGGGAGTCTGAGATGCAACTGGACAACAATGACTTTGACGAGCGCGCCCAAAACTACAGGCGTAAGACGTGGATTATGGAGGGCAAGGATCCCGACCAAATGGAGGCACTGTACGTAATGATTAACTGACGCCCTCTGTAAATACTTTAAAATTAATACTCAACTCTTACAGCTATCGTAAAAAGCAAAAGGACAAACTGCGCGAAATACGACGCAAGCGCAAGCAGCAGCAGGCCGAGCTGGGCACCAGCGAGGAGGGCAAGGCGCTTCTAAACGACGAACGTTTCAAGACTGTGGACAGTGCACGCTTTGAGAAGAAATTCCGAAAACGTCCGGCAAAAGATGCGATAGAAAAGACGCCGCCTAAATCGAGTAAAATAAGCTTAGCCACGAAAACGAAACCAAATGCAAAGCGCAAAGCAAAAGTGACTTAATGAGCTTTAAATACAAATAACTTTCGAGCTTACACTAATAAGCAGTTGCGAAACGCATCATATAAATATTTATGTAATTTCAATAATTCAAGACATGCTTCAAAAATGTAGTCGTAGCAGCCTTCAGTTAACGGAGCAGGCACTTTTGCTATATCAGTTTCTTCAGTGTTTCAGTCTAGGGCGATCGTTAGCAGCGCATCCTCGGGACAGATCTCCAGCAGCACTTTGGCGCCATCGTTAAATGGATACGAAATGCTGCCATCAATGACCAGATCTGCAGAAGTGAATTAAGAATGGAAATTGGGTTGCAATCGACCATTATGTTCTATAGGCTAATGTCCAGCTGCTACTCACTGGCATCGATGCAGTGCGATTTGATGAACACGCTCTGGACAAAATCGCGGGCTTTGAATGTGGATGGGGAGGGCCAGACGCCCACACAGATTTGTTCCCGTATGGAGTAGCACAGGCGCGGATCGTCGGGCGCAAACAGCAGACCCTGATTATAGCGCTGTGCTATTTCGTCAACATTTTCGCGCAGCCGAAGCACATCGGGCGAATCGCTGTTGGGCAGCGATTTAAGCAGATCGTCCACATCGCTGCTGGTAATGCGATTGATACTCGTGTGCCAGGATGTGGAGCCAGTGCCGGTGCTTACGCATAGGCCAGAACATTTGGTTTTGTTCACCAGATCCTGATGGTCCAGCACCAGTTGCAAATGTGAGACGCGTGCCGAAATATGCTCACCAATGAAGACCTAGAATGGGAAGCGCAGCGCCTGAGAGGATTAGCTGGACAGTTTTGTTGACAGGCTAGCTCAACACACACACCTCGTTCAACGCCAAATAGGGCAGAATACGCTTCATTTTGGCCTTGTACTTGTTGGCCATGTGCTCGTCGAGCATTTCTGGCGCCGTATCCACCTGCTCCATCTTGACGGCCGTGTGCCTGAACAGGTCCGTCGACTCGGGTATCTTGCCATTGCTGCCCAGCATGGTGGTGCGTATGCGTGAGCGATGCATCCACTTAAAGTCGCCCTGTTCAATAGATAGAATGTGAGCTATGCTCTATAGCCCAACTTGGAGTACGTACGCTTTTGATGCGGCTGACAGCTTCCTCGGGATTCTCCGAAAAGTATTTGGGCAACAGAAGGCGGCCCGCCGAACGCTGTGGATCCGAATTGAAGCCAACAATCGGTGTTTTCTGCTGGCTGAGGGCAAACAAGGGACTGGCACGATTGGCGGACAGCAGAAAGGTGCCATCGCCGCCAACGGGCACAATAACATCCGCCCAGCTCATGACATCCTTGCTCAGAGAGCTTCTAAATTCAAGTCTGCTTGTTTAATAAAGTCAACAGCGACAGGGACACATTATGTGGATGGCGGGAATAAGTACAATTTGTAGTTTGTTTGGTAATTATTGTGACGACCATAACGATGACGATGACGATGACGATGACGATAACGATGACCATGACCATGACCATGACGAATGATGAGCACACCAGACGCAGTCACAACAAGGCCACACAACAAACAACAAACGTTAGAAATATGTATCTACTGGGCAGGATGCCCAACGCCCAACAACAACAATAACAAAACACAGTACCTGCTGGAGAGCTTCACCTCGCAGCCCACGTCCTGGAAGCTTTGCACAATGCGCCGCTCGAAATCTTTGTGCAGATTGTGCAAATAGAGGACCATTTCCACGTCTGTGCCGCGATCACGTAGCTTCTGTTCGAGCTGTTCGCGCGTTAGTTCCGGATGACGCAGTTGCTCCAGTTCATAGCGCGATAGCTTCGTCACGACCAGGGCGCGCTTCAATTGAAAATTTGCGGGCGCAAAGTTGGCATATTCTGTGCAAATAGAATTGTCAGTTATGTTAAATACATCCGATAATCTATTCATAAGATCAGGCCTCATTTTATGGGCAATCATTCGAATGCGGCACAAGTGTGCTCTTTGTATCCTTGGCGGCGATGAGAATCGATGAGATTATCTTTCGTTCGGTTTTAATGTGAGAACTCGAGATTTTCGTAATGTGCTTGACAGCATTTTCCAACTAAAACACTTATAAGAACACGTTCAAATTGGACGACTGATAAACGATTTCGAGTGCGCATGTTTCTAATTGGAATCTATTAACAGGTGTGATTTCGGAAACTGTGCTTATGCGAATTGTATTTTCCAATTGGACGGGTGATAACTAATTTCGTGCGCGACCATTTTCTAATTGGAATTTTGCAAGATAATCTTTAATTGAATGCGATTCCTGACAATCACATGCCTCTCAGCCCAAAGCTGATAATAAACGGAAGCGCAATTCATGTATATAAAAAAGCAGCATCGTAAACAACGCAAAGGCTGACAAACGATTGCCTTGTTAAATTGCGCTCTAGGCATTCAAAAATTCAACTCAAGTAGACAAAGAAATGTTTTACATGCCCATTTGTGGCTTACCTTTGGCAAATTGTTTAAGCAATTGCTTGGACTTCAACATGCTGAACGTCGGGCAATATTAAATAGAGCATTTATTTATGAAATTCTTTATTTAACTCGTGTGTGCTACATCAATTGATTTAAATGAATGTGTGTGTACCAAACTTAAAGGTTCTTCAATAATCTTGCGTTCTTCTTCTTTGTTTTTTTTTTTTTTTTTGAATAGGGTTTTGCTTAAGTATGTTTCTTTTGCACAATTTACATTCCGTAATTGGAGGTTAGTTGTTGAACTAAAACTGACATCAATTGTTATCACACTAAATACACGTTAGCCGCAGCCATTGACCAGTTTTTTTTCTCTTCTTCTTTTTCTTTACGTCCACGTTCCTTGTCTTTAGAAGATTTACTGATTGATTGCGATTCCATACACAACTCTCGTGTATGAATATTTGCCTCGTTTTCCGTCATTTATCGCTGTTTTGTTTCTACTTTCGCTTTAACATCTCTCTCTCTCTCTCTCTCTCTCTCTCTCTCCCTCTCTCTCAAGTTGTCCGCTTAGTTCTTGTTGTGCATTGCTGATAAGCGGCACGGCCTTTTCTTATCAGCCCAAAAATAATAATAAAACAAAAATACAAACACTTTCAGTCAATTGCGTCTCTCGTGTCGGCGTAATGCCATTCACAGCCCAACCGCGCTTCTTCTTCTTATCATACACCATTCACAATGCGCGCATTCACATGATTTCTGATCATTCTCCTGGAACGAATACTTTTCCGTTAATATTTAAACTTAAAAAAAAAAAACAAATAAAACTTTTCTTGCTCGCCCATTTGTCTACTTAAAGCGATGATACATTCGCAGCTCCGTGGTTTCTGGGCTTATGTTCACGTCGAGGCCATGTGGTTCCTCGGACAACCCATTGTTTTTCTATTGAACAATATTTGTTTACTTTAAGACATTATTCGATATAATTTAAACATTTTTACCTGCAAGTGTGACAGCTCCTGCTGCACGTCCTCATCCAGTATGGGCTTATGAAAAACGGTGCTCAGCAACATCATGGCATTCTTGGCCACCTCGGCCACATTCAAATTCATGCAGCTGCTCTTGTCCATGTTCATCAGATCTGCCAGACGCAGTGAATCCGAGGCAACAATGCCAACATTTGCCCCAATTGGATTACGTTGCAAAGGGGCGTGGCCGTTCGTCAAATTCGACGGCTGTTCAACGTTCATTTGTGGTATGTTCCAATCTAAGGTGTTACGCATGGGAGGACCCAAACGATTTGCCGTTTTATTACCAATTGGAATTTGTGCAGTCGGTCTAATCAGCGTCGAAGCTTGTGCAGTTGGACTCATCATCGAAGGTCGCATTTGATTAGCTGAATTAATGAGCGCAGTCAACGAATTCGAGCCCAATTGCCAGTTGGCAGCAATGGGGTGGCTTTGACTCTGATTCTGATAAGATTCTAATTGATTGTTCACGCTGTTGCGCACGTTATAATTTGAATTTTGATTGTCGCACGGATTCAGTTGGGCGCTCACATTCAGCTGCGGGCGTCCATTCTGAAAGTGATTGTTCATGTTCATCAACACCTGCTGCTGCTGTTGTTTTATGTTGTTGTTGTTAGTATTAATATTGTTGCGATTGTTGTTGTTATTGTTTGGAGGACCTAAGAATGCATTGTAGGCGTTCCGCATACGCTGCTCCATGGACAACTGGCCACGTTGCGTATTACGACCCGGATTGTTGCCTAGACGATTATGTACAGAATTTTGGCAATTATTGCGATTGAAATTATTGTTATTGTTGTTGTTGTTATGATAATTGTTGGGTTTACCGCGATTAAAGCGGCGTCGATTATTTTGTTTTTGATGCCAGCGATTGCCGTGTTGAGGAGTTTGCCGTGGCGGCTGGCTACGTGGCGCGTCCGCGGGCACCAAAGGAGCCGCGCCCGGCGGACGGTTGACATTATTTGGCTGTATGCGCCACTGAGCTGAATCTGCGGACATATCCGCATTTGGGACTTGTTTGGTGTTGTTGGTTTGGTCCATTGGTTCGTCGGTATCTTGATATAACCGATTAAAGTCATTTGTTTCGAAACTAATTTGATTCATGTTCGCATCCTGTATGGAAGAATTAAGCTCATCAACCTGTTGTGATTCGTCCTCATCGGCCTCGTCTTCGTCCTCTCCATTGGCATCCTTATAGGATTGTAAATGAGCCGCTTGTCGCTGGCGTTTACCAGAATGGAATCCATAATGTTTGGTTATTTTTGGCTTGGGCTGCACATAATGTGCGTAATATTCGTCTGGGAAATTCAAATTTTAAATAAATCTTTTCATCATTTTTGGTGTTTTTTTTATTCTTTATATTACCAAGTGGCATCAAAATAGCTGGCGCATTAAACGAAGTCATGGTGAGTCTTTCCCATACATTAACTGCTTACAAAAAAATTATCTTTAAATTCTTAAAATAAATGAAGCGCACAAGTATTTAATTCGCCAGAAGAACAGTTAGAATTTTGACAGGCATGTGTGTGTGTGCCAGAGCTGCATTCGAAAATTATCAAATGTAAAAATTTCAATAATCGAAAAATGTGTCATTTACTGTTGCAGCAAGCAAATTGCAACCCTGGGCTAATGAGCATCGCAGCCCACCTTGCTAGCTTCCTTTACTTTAATTCTTGCCGAAGAACGCGTAACACTTAAAATTTTAGAGCTCTCAAAATGTAAGTTAATTAAAGAACTACAACTTGATATTGCAGCAAATATAACTGTGCTAAGTGTATTACAAGCCTTTTTACAGAACTCGAAGCTGCAAAATCAAATAAGAGTTCTAGACTTTGCTCCTTAGCCGGCAATAATTTAAATTGTAGTCACGTGGCTTGGGGCCTTGCTCTTGTGGCTGTACAGTTTTTATCTTTATAATTCTTTGAGTTTGTGATGTATAAAGTACTCTTTTGTTTTACAGGTGAACTGTAATTGGCCGTTTGGGACGGTCCTAATTAATTTGGTAAGTTGTGTTTTTCTCAATGTATTTAACTAGTTTGCGAACACGAGTCGCTGGTGTAAAGATAATTCCACTTTAGCTAGTGCTTTTTATCTGTTCGCAGAGCAAATGCGCTTCGCCCAAGCATAACCCAAATTTATTATATCAAAAATTTGCGGTGCATATTTTTTTCGTGAAGCCAACATATCAAATTGAAAAAGTTACTTGCTCTTTGATGTGGAATCTTATATACTCACAAATTGTACTTTGTTTATTGCAGGTAAAATGTGAGCGCAATTCTAATGGATTTACCGCTATGATAATCTAGGCAGAAAGGTTAGTTTTATTTTTAGTGCATGTAAGGAACAAATTTGTGCTCTGATGAAATTTTACATTCTGACACCTCATATGAACCACTGTGATTCATTCTATTTGTAATTAACTACTGAAAATGCAATATTTAAGTAATTTAAGTACTTTTATGCAATCTTCTTTAACGAAATCCTTGTTTTTTAGGTTATGCACGAACATGCTGCTGGGCATTTAATGGCTGTACGTGAAGTTGGCTGCACTCTTCGCTGGATAATAATCCTGAATTGGGTTAGTATTCGTTTAACACGTGTTTTATATCCTATTGCATTTGCAATGATGATCACTTAAACCATTCACAGACACCATATAAAAGTTAAGCTCTGGCAAACTTCTTCAATATTTTTTTGAAGTAAGCGAGTCTTGCTTAGCCGGTTATGGACCCTGGTTAATAAATTGGCACTGAGTCTTACACTTAATGCACCAATTATGTTGTCAAATAGCAAATTTACTTATGCCACGTTTTCTATTGCAGGTGCTCCGAACAATTGGATCAGCTACAGCTGACATTGTTGTACTTTCAAAATATGTAATAAATAAATAAACATGCATTTTGAATTTAAAAATCGTTTTTTACTATATTGGCACGTTCCCTCAAAGCCAGTTCCTGGTTCTGTTTGGCAATCATGCGATCACCCTTTGATTTCTTGCCAATGCCCAGTTTGGGCAGGCCGCGATTGAGTCCCTCCAGCAGCACGCACGCCTTGCACGGCTGCTGTGAGGAAACGAAGCTGCAGCGTTCGCAAATGCCGCGCACGGGTTTCTTAACAGTATCCTTAAAGCGCAGCTGCTCGCCCGAATAGATGATGTCCATTATGACCGATGGTCGCACTTTTTCCAGATCCTTGAGAAATGCGCGCGCGTGACCCCGGTAGGCGTTCGGCGCAAACACGCATTCGGTGGAAAAGTAGACCAACTTCTTGTAGTGCGCATACATGACAATTTCTTTCTCGTAGCTGTATTTGAGCGGCTTGACGCGAGGTATGGAGTCCTCGCTGCCGCCAGTGCGGATGTCTGTGCAGCGACGTAGGCGCGCCGTGTCCCCTCGTAGTATATTCATCAGCACCGTTTCCGCAATGTCGTCCGCATTGTGGCCAGTGGCAATGCTGTCCACGCCCAAGAGCTTTGCACCTCGATCCAATGCCTGGCGGCGAAAAACGCCACAAAATGTACAATTATTGGAGCGACCTATTTGAGCCACAATGCGATCCATAGTCCAGCCGTACAGTTCCTCATAGGATAGGATTTTCAATGGCATTTGATAGTCATCGCGATTTTGTTTGACCGTCTCTAGACTGTCGTCCCGATAGCCCGTGATGCCTTCGTCAATGGAGAGCAGCACCAGGTCCAGACCATAATCGTGGCGTTCATTAAGAAGCTTCAAGCTGAAATGAAGTTTACTAGGCTTACAAGTGTGGTCAATGGCAGTTGAACTTACACATGCGCCAGTACGGTAGAGTCCTTTCCGCCGCTGGCGGCGACGGCAACCTTTTCACCTCGTCGGAAGAGCTTGCTCGAGATGATTGTGTGATGGATTTCAGCTTCGAAGGCAGCGAAAAAGCAAGCCTTGCACAGAGCGTCACCTGTTTTGGGACGCTGTAAAGGAAATCGATTAACGTTTATATTGTAATTAAAATAAGTTACTCACCTTTAATGTGGCCCTGTTGCCGCATTTAGCTTTACAATCTATAGGCATTTCTAATATATATTGTTTACAAATAAACAACGTGCTGCGTTAATCGAATTGGTGTTATCGATATAAGTATTATTGCAGCGTTGTACAGCACTAACTGAAATATCGAAAGGTAACTCCAGAAACTAGGCGCGCTTATTATATTTACGAAAATAATTGAAGCAATTCTCAATTTCTTGTAAATTTAATGATAGTCAACATTTTGATTTATGCTTACCATTTAATATTAAAACCCCATTTGTAATTATATGAGTTATTTCTTATCAATAAATAAATGAATTAAAGTGGGAACATCCCTAATGCAATAAACTCAAATGCAAACAAAAAATTTAAGTAATGACTTTTGATGATGAAAATGACGAATATATACACCAGAAATTGTATCGCAGCCGTGGCAAATGTGGTAAGTAATGCATAAAATTATATATATTCATGTATTGCAAGCTATCCTTACCGAAACACAGCAATCTACGCACGTCAATCAGAAGTTTACGTCGAGGTGAAGCAGAAATCCAATGTTTATGCTAGAACACCAGTTGCCGCAATGGCTGGGAACGCCAACAACAACAACAGCACACTTGATATTGGACACGATGTTTGGTTTCACATAGCCATGCATCTAGATCCGGAGGATGTGCAGACCTTCGCCTTGGTGTGCAAACAGACCGCCAAGCTGGTTAACTCGAGAGCCTTCTGGCGCAACATGTACAAACGCCACTGTCTGGCTGGTGCTTCCAGGAGTTGGAACCTGGAGCTGCCCGCCCAGCTGCAGTTGGAGCAAATACGCAACTGTGATACGAAAGCGCTGCGCTCGCACGTCATCGAAGCGCTATTCCACTGTTATCGTCCACTTAAGATGCGCCTGGAGCTGGGCTACAGCCTGGACTGGCTGCTGAACCGCACCTTTATGTCCTGCTCGCAGAAGCAGTATCAATGCTTGTGGATCATGTGCTATACACTTTGGAATCAGCAGGCGACAGCCTCTAGGCAATTGGATGAAGTTGGGCACTTGGCGCAGGCGGACAACGACGTGGTTAACGATTGGGAAGCGCTGGCCGAGGGCGATGAGTCAACAGCACAGATCGTACACAGCTCCGGCAATCGACATGAAGGTGTTGTTCTATTGATTGTGGTTTGCCGGCAATTTATACCGCTGCCGCTGCAGTTGCTCTACAACCAGCAACAGTCGCGCTTTCGCCTGATGGCAACCCGGGAGCTGCTCTGCAGCAATATGCGCGCCAAGAACTTGGAGCTGGATTTTGTCGAGGACAACTGCAATAGCAACAGCCCGAGTGTGACCGTCAAATATGCACGCATTGAAAAGTATAAAGTGCTGCCCTGGTGGCATCCAGATTTCAAAAGGTTTCTCAAATAAAATTGATATGCGTCCAACAAAAAAAAACCAGATATATCAGTAGGTCACGAAATATATAAGGAATGGAATTAAAGGTCAGCTATACTTTCTAAGCAACCCAGCCGACATCTATGCTGACTTTCACTATTATCAGAATCATGTGATTGGATGTGAACCCGAGTGGGACATTAAACGGACCTTATCTCAAGTGTCGCACATATACGACAATTGTGCGCATATAGACATGCCGGATGACAGATGTTGTACATTGTTTGGAAGCTACCTACATATTGCAGATAAACAACTTTGATCGTACATTTTTTTTATCACTTCACATCGATGCACTGATAGAAAACAGAAGCAATAAGTACATGTTGATACGTAATTTTATAAAAGCGATTGTTTTCTCGTTATGATAAAGGATTAAAACTGGAAGATAATTGATATATACACGTTCAGCTTAAACCTAATTGTGAGTTACATACGTACAAAAAACATTTAGAGGTGGTCGTTAAAAATTTGTGTGTGTCTTTATGATAATAGAGCCAAAGCTCTGAGTGCATTACACCTTGCCCAGTAGATCGTGTCCATACGGCTTCTTGCGGTAGCCGCCTTTGAAGGCGAACAGCTTAAAGGCCAGCACCATCATGACAATGCAGAAGGCATACAGGAACATGCCCATACGCATATCCATGTCGGAGAAGACATTAGAGATCTGACGCTTTTGCCGCATCTTGTCAAGTGTCTCGTGCAGCAGCTCCTCGCGCTGCACGCCAAAGCGACTGACGAACTGCGGATTGTGTATGTTCTTGAGAAAACTCAGCACCGCCTCCTTGTTCCAGTTAATTTCCAAATTCTCTTTCAGGGCTGAGGCTGGCGCCTGCCGGCATTTGGCACAACTGCTGGCACTGGGGAATTGTACTTTGGGAAATTGCGGATCCTCGGTATCGTCGCCAGCCAGACGCTGATTGACCTCATTATGCGCAGACCAGAGCCACAGCACGGCTTCGTCTTTGGTGGCAACGTTCCAGATTTTGCGGCGTGTTGCCATTGCCTGAACACAGGAAACAATATAGATTAATCAAATACACTTGTGTCAATTTAAGCAGCTGCTGCCAAAAGACAACAACTCACATCGTCCGTATCACAAAAAAAAAACCCACAATGTCATTGCGTAATAGCCCATCTTGCGTATGAAGACGAGCAAAACCCATGGGGAATATGCACCTAAAAGCATTATAATCATAAAAACGTGACTGCTCCAAGTTAGCTTGTTTAGCAGCATAATGCTTTTCATAAACTACACAAGGGCTTTGACCCCACATAGTATGTGCATAACACATATATATATAGGTATATACATATTTGCTTAATCGGCTAAAATAGCTAGACTTCTGTACAAACGCGAAACATAAGTGGGTTACGCAGGCCAGACTAGACAAATTTGCTTGCTCCGATATTGGCCAGGCTGTTAGTAGTTATTTAATAGCAGCACACATGGCATCATTTGTTTAAATATTATACATAATATATATCTAAGTAAGACGCTTATTTTAACTGAAATTTTTATCTGTTATCGATTTCTCTCTTGTTTTGCCACCCATTCAAATTAAGTTTATGGTCAATGTATGTGATAATTGAATAATCGTGATAAATAACTTTTAATTTGATATAAGGCTTTGCATTCTCTGGAGCATGTCATATAAATAATATAATGAGCGCGATATGCTCTGTTTTTTTTTTTCTAAATTATATTTCATAATTTGTTTACCCGAATGTCTATCTGGATATTTGGATAAATATATATGCCAGTGCTACATTTAGTATCTATATGCCAGGGCTGTTTGTTAGGGTATAAGTCTTCCTAATTACAGTTTATCTTTCAGGGCCTGTAAATATATCAAGCATGTCTTACTTATCTATGGAGTATTCCGTTAAAAATGACTTAAATTGTTTCTTAATTGTTTTTCATTCTGAAATTCTTCCCATCCATTTGTAAATCGTAAACAGGCGGCAAAATAGACACACTTATTGCTGCGGGCCCTTCAGCTTAGGCTGATTTGTTGTTGTTAGCAACAAATAAACAAAATAAATTAATAAATAATGTAATGAATTGACAAATACCTCGCCCCGCGCACCTGCTGCTCTGCTCCTACAGCTTGGAGGCCAAATGCTGATCTCATAGTGAAAGCGCCAATTACAATAATGCGGTATTATTAACACGTAGGCACAATCTAAATTTTATGTGTGTGTGTGTGTGTTTTAGATGGAGATGACTCACCTGGAAATGTTCGCTGCAATCGGTGCAGCCAAAGAAGTTCTTGATATAGCCATGCATCGCCTGCAGCACCTCCAGTGGATCCTGCGACTGTTCGTTGCCGGCCGCCTGCACGCTCATGAAATGGAAAAGCGTCCACAGCGAACAGCTGAAGCCGCGGAAATGCGGACTGGAGCCCGTGCAGCCCACATAGTGTGTGCTTGAGTAGATGTGACCCAGTTTTGATTCCAGGCGGCGCAGCTCCTGCTCAAACTCCTTGCCCGTCAGCTGCTGATTGAACTGCGCCACGTAATCCCTGAGCTTGCCCACCAGCTGGCGTCCCGCCTGGCCTAACGGATTGTAGCGCTGGAGCACGGTCAGAAAGCGCTGCAGCGCCAGCAACCGCTCGCCGCTAATCACATTCACTTTGGCCACCTCGTTGTGCAGAATGGTGCGTATGGCCTGCTCCAGATCCGCCTGATAAATCAAGTGCTTGTTGCGATGCACCTCGCTGATGATCGCATTAAGTTCTTCATGCTGGCTGCCGCCATTCGGCGACGGCGGCGACTGCGCCTGTTGTTGCTCTGGCCGGGGCGTAAAGCTCAGAGCACGCAGCGCATCCTCAATGGCCCTGGCATAGGCTTCGCTGCTCTGAGTGGACGGCGTGAGAACCTTCACATTGCCCTGGCGATCCACGAGCGCCAACTGTTGCTTCTGGCTGGTGTCCAACTTAAATTTGGCCGCAACGGCGGCATCGCCGAAACGACGCACCTGTACGGCGGGCCACTGCAGCAGAAAGAGCGCCGTTTCGGCGCCCAGCGTGGAGTTCTCCGGCTCGTGTATGAGCGCCACATACTCCCGCTGGCTGTTGAGGCCCTCAAACAGCGCCGTGGCGGTGCTTTCACTTTCGCTGACGGGCACAAAATTGGGCCAATGTGTGTTATTAGCCGTCTGATTCTCGGCGGCCACCATGCCAGCGAGCAGGCTGCGTATCTCGTCGGGCTTTTGGGTCTCCAATTTCAGGCCATATTGCATAGCGCTGGGCTGATAGCCTGGGCCCATATACCGCAACGTTGGATAGCCCATGACCTCGTAGGCACGACAGACGCCGTTGTTCTCCTCGGCGGCACAGTCAATCGCACTGACAATGACCACATCCCGCCAGGCGTGCAGCTGCTCGGCCACCTGCTTGTAGATGGGCGCAAAGCGTCTGCAATGCCCGCAATATGTGTTATAGAACTCGACGAGCGTGCTGCGATTCTGCTCCAGCACCGTCTCATTAAAGTTGGCCACAGTTAGCTTGACCACCTTATCGCTGTCATCGTACAGGCCGAGTTCCTCGTCCACCGGTGCCGATTGCTGTTTCAAGAGTGTCTCGTATCGGTTCAATGGGACGCCAGCAGCGACCAATTTCAGTATGCACAGGAACAATAATATTGATAAAAATGCCAGCTGCGCACCTTGTCGAGTCATTGTTTTTAAGCCGAGTGTTCGCCGAGTTTAAGGTGTTCAGTGCGCAATGCAATGAGAACGACTGATACGATATTTCTACCGTAGCATTGGGAATGTTTTATGGTTTCAATAACTTTTGATTAGCCACACAGAGTATTTTCGCAGTCTCTCCCCCTGCTGCTTGTTCTTTACGTACGTTCGCGCAAACAGCTCTTCATAGAGATGAGCACTGACAGCGTATAAGTGATGCGAGTCACATTTGAGTCACTGCGACGATAACTTGAGGTGATTTATTGTCGGTGGTAGAGTGCGGCCACACTGGAGTGATGTAACAAAACCCCTAACAGTCATTCCCTAGAAAGGGCGCGGGCATAACTTGTGTAAATGTATTACAGTATGAGTGTTGCCATACTGCGTCTAAATAACTAAAAGTAACTGGTACAGAGTGACTATCTAAAATGTGTACAAAGCTACACATGTTATTAGTAAAGTAGGTTATAATAATAGATTTAAAATCTAAAAATGTTCAACGATCAACACAAATATATGTGACTTCAAAAATCACTACGCTCGCTGCAAACGGACATCTCTCACGCATAAAACGATAAGCGCTATTAAATACTATCGATAACACCACATACGATATTTAGTTATTGAAACAAGTACACCACCACATTCTAAAACAAATTTCGAAAGTTTAAAAAAAATTAGCTCAGTTTAGTGAAATTAAGATGATATTGCGCCCATTGGAACGGGCTTTTTTGCCACGTTCAGCAGGTGACGGAGCATGCTTTCTGCTAATTGCAGTATGTGTGCCGCTTACATACATGTTTCAAGTCACAGTTATAATGCCGGAACTCCACGACGTGGGCAGCTTTTGGTATACAGCAGTGTGGCTCGCCGGCATTTTTTTGGTCTTTAATATAACGTCAAATATGCTGGCCTGCATGCTGGTGGATACCTCAATTAAATGCAAGTACCTGACCATCAATAAGGCTATATACATTTCAAACAATTTACATTGCAGTGCATATCCTTAAGCCGCCTGTGGATTCTCATCTACTGAGCCGTTGGCATATGTGCGATGCCTGCCAGACGCTTGTGCCACCTCGTTCCTGGCACTGTGAGATCTGTAATGTGTGCGTCTTGAAGCGAGATCATCATTGCCGCTTCACCTGCTGTTGTATTGGTCATCATAATTACCGATATTTCTTCTATTTTTTGCTGTACATGGGTCTGGGCGCCCTCTATGTGAGCATCAATGCCAGCATTTATCTGTGGTATCTGCACGCCGACTATTACTGGCGTCCGTACACACTGCTCACCGTCTTTGTGCCTGCCTTGAGCCTGACTGTGCACGCCAGCTGGGAGAACTTTTATGTGGTACTCTATGAGCTGAATTTATTGGCATTTTGCATGTGCACATTGCTGCTCGTTTATCATCGGCCCATCTTTCAGCGCGGCGCCGTCATGAAGGAGCGCTCGACCAGCAAATATGATCTTGGCCTGCGCGCCAACATGGAAATGGTGCTGGGCAAGCGTATGCACCTCACCTGGATATCGCCATTTGTGCGCAGCGATCTGCCGCACGACGGCGTCAACTGGGAGCCCGCGACGAAAGAGGAATGAATCTTATTGTATTTTGATACTAGTCATACCATAAGTAATCTCATCTAGCACAAAATGGTAGAATTAAAGTATTACATAATGCATTCCTTGCATTTATTTAAATATTGCATTTATTGCAAATTAACAGAACGAACTGAATGATCATTTATCTAGAAAACTTTCACCGACCAGCGATTTTAGCTTGGCCAAATGCACTTCGCTGAGAGTGAAGCCTTCGTGTATGCGCTTTGCCAGCGCAATCGTTTCCATGTTGTTCTCCACAGCGTATTGTAGCGCCATTAGCGCCTGGCTGGGCGCTTTGTTCAGCACAGTTGCTTCCACGTACTCAGACAAAGCGCTCTCGGCGGGCGTGCCGGGAATGCGATGCTGCTGCTTGTCAATGTAGGCGAACACCTCGCTAGCCTTGTCGAAGCTGCTGCCGCTGCGCACGAGCAGCGTCAGAATGTCGCCCAGCATTTGACCAGTGAAGGAGACTTTCCTGACGCGTTTTGCGGATTCCTCGATTTTGTTGTACATGTCCAGGGCCACCTTGGCGCACTGTTCGGGCAGCTGTTGCTGGGCGGGCAGTTCAGCATTTGGACGATTGTTCACCATTATGCGGAGCACATAAAGCAGCAGACTCTCGCGATGGGTGTGATCGAAGATGACCATGTCGGACCAGATGCGCGGCACATGCTCAACGGCACCATTAATTTCTATGGCTCGTAGGATCTCCTCCATAATGCCCGGCTCCGGTATGTAGATGTTGGGCACCAGCACGTCATATGTCTGCATGAAGTCCTCAATAGATTCGGTCTGACACAGCAGCGCCAGATAATTGCGATAGTATATGCTCTCCTTGAAGGAGTCGCCTATCAGATCGTAATTGTTGCCCGTGTGCAGCAGCTCATCTACCTTCTTAGCCAAGGCCTTGTCGTTCAAATGATTGCGGCACACATCCATGGCCGTGGCAAAGAAGTACGTATCCTTGGGATGCTCCACTTTGAACTGCTTACCGCCAATGTCGTTAAGGATGTCCACAATGACGTGCGAGACGGGCGCGCGTTCCCGGCAGAATATGATTAAGAGATAGTAATATGTGCCCAGACTGGGCGTAACGCCCAATTGCTTGAATTCCGGCAGAACCTTAAGCGCTGAGCTGCGTGCCAATTTAAAGTTTCCAAACGTGCTGATGCATTCGAGTAGAGCGTTCAGTGTACCCAGATTGGGATGCAGTTGCTGTTCGGCCATTTGATTTAGCAGCACCGTGCACAGCTGCCAGCGCTGGTCGGCCGTGTCCTTGAGCAGGCTAACAATCTGAATTATGGCATTGTAGGTATTGGTGTCCAGTTGGATTTGCCTCTCGTTTGCCTCTTGCAGCAGCGCATACGCGCGCTCGCACTGCAAATACTTGGCCATGCCGCGTATAAGCGCCGCATAGGATTGCGGCGTCTTTGGCTCAATGGCGGCGTAAAGTTTTTCCGCCAAATCACCGTCCTTCCATGTTTTTCCATGACGTTCACGTCGCCGACTGTTCTGCAGGAACCAGCGTTCCTCAATGTACTCTTCCGGCAGCGGTTCTTGGTTGTTGTAGAAGCACACCAGCTCCAACAGACTCTGCTTTAGTGCATCATTGACCTCAATGCCCTTTTTCTCCAATAGATTGTACACAAGAACAGCATCCGTGAGCTCACCTTGTGCAATTAGTTGCTGAAGTGAGCTCGTGTCCACCTCCGACTCCTCTGTGTAGACCATGGATGGTGCAAACTTTTCAATGGGTGGTTGCGCTTCTTGGTGCTGCATGTTTGCAAATAGAGGCATTTTAATGCCATTTTGTAGTCACACCAAACACTTACCATAAACAGCTCGCGATGCTCCTCTTTAATCCAATTTGCTGCCTTACGACCCGCCTCCTTGGACAGCGTATACGTGCGCTTGGTCACATTTGATGTGGGTATCAGAAAGGGATCATCGTGGTATTTATAGTGTGGCGCCGTTGAGTCACGTCCCACGGTGCTGGCCAATGCCTGCAGCAGATCTGTGGGCGAGCGTTCAATGCGTTTGGGAATTTCAATGTGCTCGGCCGCCGGCGGCGCAGCGGTTGTGTAATGTGTGCCATTGCCACTGGTAATGTGACGCACAAGGCTGGAACTGGGCAGCAGTCTTAGCTGGCGCGTTAGGTACATGGTGTGTGATTTGGACCAATAAATCTGTGCACTTTCAGTAACAAATAATTATTTTTCAATTAACAAATATAAATCACTAACCAAATGACAAAAACAGTGTGACCGAAGTGCGTTAGTCTTAAAATGCGCAACAGCTGATTGCAACGACTAATCGAAATGGTGTATCGATAAATTGTGGCGGCTAACATATGGTGCTCCACACTGAGCACGGCTCTTAAATTCGAATTGTAGTTTTAATTGTAATTTTATTTTCTTCACGGATGGAACGCATAAACTAATACTTAGAATGTGCACAATGGAAGTTATGGCTAATAATTGATCAGTGTGGGCGCAATAATCTCTTATATTAATTTAACCTGACAATCGAGCTTAACACAGGCCTCTCTCGCTCTCTCTCTCTCTCTCTCTCTGTGATTTTCTCTCTCGTGATCTAACAGATCTCAGTTTTTTATTCTAGAGCTGTTGTCTTGTGTGTTCAGTCTTTAGATAACTCTGCGTGTGCTCGCTTGTTTAATTTGAATTTCGTTAGGTTATCATGACGATCCCGATCCTGTATTATGATGATCGCAGTCCACCGGTGCGAAGTTGTCTGATGCTCATCAAAATGCTGAATATCAATGTGGAGCTGCGCTTCGTGGACCTATTCAAAGGGGCACAATTCGAGAAAGACTTCTTGGCGGTAAGTGATGCTAATCCCATGCAGAGCCGAAACTAATTATTTATCCGCCAGCTAAATCCGCAGCACAGCGTGCCGACGCTAGTGCATGATGAACTGCTGCTCACCGATAGCCATGTCATACTCATACATCTTGTGGAACAGTTTGATACAGAGGCCGGCAGACTGTGGCCCAAGGATTACGCAGCCAGAATGAAGGTGCTTAATCGCTTGTTCTTCGAGTGCTCCTTTCTCTTTCGCCGTGACAGTGATTTAATGGTGCTTAGCCGCCTCTTAATTGTTAGCCATTCTACTCACGCATACCCTTCTCTTCCAATTGCCAGTCGGAAATCGTGCGCAAGCAGTTCGCCAATGTGGATGTGGCCTACCACGAACGCAAGCTGTGCGAGGCATATGACATTATGGAGCGGTATCTCGACGGGCAGACCTACATGGCTGGCGATCAGGTGACGGACACAAAATTGCAAACCACAGCGCTGCGCCCCCCTTTTTTAATTGCGTTTAGTTTTTATATTGGATTTTAGCTGACGCTCGCCGACATATCCATTGTGAGCACACTGAGCACCGTGCATCTCATGTTTCCAGTGGCAGCGGCACGTTGGCCGCAACTGCAGCGCTGGTTTGCCACAATGCAGCAATTGGATGCCTACGAAGTGAATCGTCTTGGCGTGGAAAAACTGCGCGACATCATAGAAAAGCTGGGCAAGTTTCAGTTTCCCAACCGACAGCTCTGATAGGACGATGCAAGCTGAACTTTATTTACAAAACGGTTGGATCAAAACTGAATCATCAAATATTGCTCCAGGAAATGGAGCTCATAGACTTAAGCCAAATTAACGAAACTATTTAGGAGAGTTTGCTGCTGGTTGGATACAAAAGAGAGTAGCATTTGAATCTTCGCCTAAAACCTAACTTAATCTGGGTTTGAAACAGCTTCATGTGACTTACTGGCTCGAAGCGTAAAATGAATCATCAAACAAATATCAAATTGTTATTATACTTCCTATTATTAACCCATCTATGTAACCCAGGGCAATTAGACGCACTTGCTGTTTGCTTAAAGCCTATTATATAAAGCCGCTAATGTTGTTTCGTATAATGCGTGGACATCATTAGCATACGGTCAACAGTCGTCCCCATGTTGGATTTGGTGGGGTTACGACGCATTCTGTTTGCTCTCGAAATGTTTGGCCAATATTTGCATATGCCGACAGCATGTCATGCCTAATGGCCATATCGAGTGCGCAAATTTGAGTTGGGTAAAACGCCTCGAGTACTTGGCGTTAATTGCATGCCAACCGCGCAATATGTAATTCCGTGCTGGTCATCCACTTCTCAGAGAAGTTTGGTCTACCCGTGGCAATTCCTAACGTGACCGTTTCCGTCACGACACTCTCAGGTGCTGGCATTTTGATTGAGCAGCAGCTGCGACTGCAACACGATTTGCTTTGTGCAAGAAATCTTTCTTGGCGCACGCAACAAAACTTTCCAGTCAGCAAGTTTTTCAATTTGCCGAGCTTTAAGCCAACATTGTTCTGGGCCATCATGACAGACGCTTGTTTAGCTTATGTTTCAGCTAGGTCCTATGCGAACAAAGGAAATAAATCACGCAGCACTATTAAGAAACTGTAATAATAATCAGAAAAAAAATTGAGCTAAGTTAATTATTAGTAATAAATAATCTAATCGATGTAATCGCACACACCAGATTTCTATTGGAAGAAGACAACACAAATTACTAATACTACACAAGGACGAGAAATATTACTGGAGTGAACATCAAATTCAGCTGGGCGTACCTGATTTTTTGAGAATCGAGTAGAGGGGCTATATTTTAGGAAGCTAGTCAGCGGGGCAGCTAGACTGTCTAGGACTCGAGCTTCTCTCACACTCTCATTTTATCTTGCTGTCTCTCTCTTATACTCTCTCTCTCGCTCTCTCTCTCTCTCACACACATTATCTCTTTCACTTCCTCCTCTCTCTCGCTCTCTCTCTCTATCTTTCGCTCTCGTTCCGTCTCTCTCGCTCTCCCTCTCTCACTACCTCTCACTCTCTCTCTTTCACTCTCGCTCTCGCTCTCTGTCTCTCTCTCGGTCTATTTCCCTCACTCTCCCTCTCTCTCTCTCTCTCCACAGCCTCTATATAATTGCCTGATGGATTTTTAGGTTTTAAGTACTTTCATTTAATGCTATTAACTCTGTTATGAAATGCAATTAAATTGATAATAATTTATTAAATTTAATTGTAAAATGTACATTTTTTTTAAGTAATAATTTCATGTAGTACAGATATTTCGCTCAGATATGCATAGAAGAGCTTTACTTATATGTGGGCATACATACATATATGCTATGCATATAAAACCGGGTTTCGTTTTTATTTTTTGTTCAATGTTATTTGCATTTTACGTTGAACTCGATTAAAAGCCAAACTGCCGGCGACTGATTTTATTTATGGCCATTCGATGCTTCAGCAAGGAGCAACGGGGCGTGGCAAGGGGCGAACAGTTGACCAGGGCGCAATATATGGTCAAGGCGAAATGTGGCGAAGTCAAATCGAATGGGTTGGGTATTGACTCCAGTACAGCTGTTTGCACTGGCTGATGACATTATTTTTATTTAAATTTATAATTAAAATAATTATGTTAAATAGACAATTGTGGGCGGGGCAGTGAGGCGCGAGTGCATAAATTGCGAACAGCAAAGGGGCAAGGCAAGCGAAAACAAACGCCTAAAAGCAGGCAACGCCTTTTGTCAAGAGGCGGCATAATTAAGCGCATAATGACTTGAAATTAGCATGGCAGCTAAAAATGACAGGTCTACAGGGGGGGGGGGGGGGCAGGGGTAGCCTGCTCTGTCTGCTGCAAATCGAGTTATAATCACAAACGACACCAGCAACAACAACTTTCCGTTGGCCTCTTCAAACTTTTTAGATGGCAGCAAGTAGGCTGGGGTGCAGAGGCGGACAGGGGGCTGGTAGCTAGGCGTATATATGATCTGGGGGCAGGTGTTGGGGTCTGCAACTTGAGCTTAATGCTGAGAAATACATTTTGCAAATTGATTTATGCGTAAAATATTGCTTTGAAGTCGCAATGCGACGCCCAAAACAAGTCGCTTCAGCAGCTGCCTTTGCTCCAGCTTCTGTTCGAGCTCCTCTGCAGCCTTTTCCAACACCTTTCACTCAATTTACCGAATCGGAGACCTTCCTACCAAAGTCGAAAATCACATTAAATGCTGCCGCCTATTAACTAGACCCAGCTGTTGGCTTTAAAGCCAAATTCACTCGGACTATTCACATTCGAACCGAAAAGCCTTCGCACCACCATTGCAGTCAACGATGCGTGCTCTGCGAAAATATTGACAAAGTTTTATGGTCCAAGCATTCCATCAGCACTTTAAGCAACATTTGTTGATTCTATTTGGGTCAGACCAACTTTGGTCCAAAGATTTCCCACTTTTAGCCAAAAGCGGAGGCCATGAAGCTGCCCCTCCCCAAAGAAAGGGGCAGGGTGGGCGGCGCAGCAAATTGAAATTCAGTCGCAGCTGAATTATTGATTAAAGAGGCAGCACAAAAAAAAACACACACACACATATAAAAAGGAGAACGTACGCTACAGCTGAGAGACTGTGTAATACCCTGTAATCATTTATGAGGCGCACAAGATAAACATTTTCTTAAATAAATACTAAAAAATAGAAAATGGGATAAATGTAATGGAATAATTATTGTTGTTTATAGCACAAGAGAAGAGTGTGGGAAGAGAGTGTGTGTGAGAGAGAGAGAGAGAGAGAGAGAGAGAGAGAGAGAGTTTCACTATATATTCTATATAGCATATAGCGTATAGCTGGATATGATAGGATCTGCTTTGCTCACCACAACAGCATACCCCTTAACACTTACCTTCCGGTTTACAGGGCATACAAACGCCTTTTAACTTTTTGGTTTTTTGGCCAATTATTACCTGAATATTTGGTTTATTCTCTAATTTTATCTGCTTTAAGCCTGATTGAGCGCCAATATCATTGAATAAAATATTATGGGTTTGGGCCTTTTTCTCGTTTTTCTTCTCTTTTTTTTGCTTGGAATTCGTAATTAGGGTTTTTCATATTAACCATCAAGAACTAAGACTAAATTGGCCAAATGAAATGTTGGCAAACAAAGTTTTGCGCGTGCTGGGAAGAGTGGTGGAGGAGGGGAGGGGTAGGGGTAGAGGCGGTGTCGGCAAATGAATTTGCGGGCAGACAAAAACCCAAAAAAAAAAAAAAGCAAACAAAACCAGCGAACAGCAAGAAAAGTTCAAAGGATGCCGCAGACTCCTATAGAAAAAGCCACAAATAAAGCCGGAAAAAAGTAAACCAAAAGTATAAATAATTAAAATGTCTGTCAATAATACGCGAAAGGAAAGGGTATACAAACTGTTTAGCTATCTTCTTTTTTTTTTTTTTTTGGTACTTCGTGCGAATGCTCATATAATTTTAATTGCTTATTGGTAAAAGGAAAATAAACCATGGAACCGACGTCAAGCGAAAATCTGTGAACAAACTTATAAATATCAATTGCCGCAGTCTGTTCCCAGCTTTGGGACACGCGGCGTATGCGCGATGCGTTGTGTTTATTTTTATAGCCCGATGACGACATTGAGTCTCGAGTTTTTCCAATTAAATGTTCAGGCAGCAGTCGACAGTTTATAATAAATAATGCTGCTATTTATAGCCGGACTGTCTGCATGGCACAACTATTGTGCCACATAATTTCTTGTTTATTTATTTAAATCGAAAACAAACAAAATGAAAGGCGCAAAAGCCAAATGTCAAGTGCAACAATTATTTTGGCCAATGCCTCACTTCATTTCCGTTTCCGTGCTGTAAAAACAAACGGAAATACGGAAATAAAGCTAAACAATAGCCACAAGTGGGTTTCGTGGTTTCTACATGCCCGAGAGCGTGAATAGGCAATCAAAAACGGGAGCAAGGGGATTTTGGGCCAACGCATTGAACCCATTTTCGCTTGACTTCATTTGCTGGGCTTATGCGTTGCCCATTCTTTGTATACTCTAACTCTAACTTGGGGTATATTAGCTTGCGCTCAAATGCCTGAAGCGGGCATTCAATTTGATTTTTATACGCTGCGAAAATGTAGCATGTATAATGTCTTTTTTTATATGCTTCAGATAGCTATATATATATATATCTCTTTGATATTTCCCACACATTAGCCATAAGTCATATGTATTTTGTAGGGCATTTATTAGTCGCCTTGCAGCTAGTTAGCTGCGGCCTGTCGCCCATTGTGCTGGCTGTTTTGGGCATTGCCCTTGGCTATGCTCTGGTATGTGGCCCTTTGTTACGATTTTATGTTGATTTATGGGAAAATAATCCTGGCGCATTTAGCATGCAGTACCAGAGGCCTAAGCATAAGCCTCCAACTTAGCCCGGCCGACTGCAAATCAAATTTACGAAACAAACGCTTGCTGTTTAAGTTGCTTCAACTGAAGTGCCTGTCCGAACTGTTCAAGAATTAAGTTCTTATGCCCTGTACGCACTGGGGTGAGTGGGTATATTGGGCTTGTGCAATGTCTGCTGGCTTTCACGTCAGCTTAAGCTCGCATTAGACATATGCTGCAACTAAAGTTGCCTCACTTTTAATTAGTTTTCAGCGTAGGGTATCCAGTAGTCGGCTACATTTGTATGGCCGTAAATTAAGATGGCATTTTATATTTCTATTGCGCACACTAGCAAATGTAATTAAATTATTGCAATTTGTTTTCCATATCAAACATTTGCTTTTGTATTCGTTTAATAAGCATTTAAAGGCAATGCCAGATTTTGGCATGGAATTGCAGTCACGCGTTTCTGTGTAACCGCGGGGCGTTCATTAAATTGCGCAGCCAAAGGGCGAATTTAATTCACTTAAACGAAATGACAGTGAAAATACCAAAATGTTGTTAATTAAAAAATTGCCGCCCTGGGCGCGAGCCCAGAGACTGGGCCACGTATTTTGGCTAACCCAACAACTGGACGACTCTGTCTTGGCCCACAGCGGCTGTAAAAATAAACCAACACGCCATGCGGCGGGAATGTGTGAAAAAAAAAACAA